GCGTGTTCCTGGATGCAGTGTGGTAAAACTAAGAAATAAGGTATTTTTCGGGAGGGGAGCAAATGCTAATGCAAGAGGAGAAAATGCCTGAAATACAAGGCAGTGTGTGATCAGAATCGCCAGTTACGGAAAGGGAAGCGGATCAGAGTTGGAGGGAGCCCTTAAAACATTAGGTAGAGGTTGGCATCAGATCAGGGGTGGGGTAATATTTTGGAAGAATCGGGGAGAGCTAGCCTTCCAGAGAGAGGAAACGGAAAGCGGACACTTGGGCAGGAGAACGCGTAGCATGTGGTGGGGTGAAAGAGCCATCCGGGTTCAATGGAGCATCAAATCCTTTGCCCTGTAGTCGATTCTGACTCATAGCTACCCTGTAGGACAGAGTAGAACTGCCCCATAGGGTTTCCAAGGAGCGGCGGGTGAATTCGAACGGCTGATCTTTTCATTGGCAACCGAGCTCTTAACCACTGTGCCACCAGGGCTCCTAATGGAGCACACTCTGCTTTGAATTGTAATAGTTCCCAAACGTGGAGGCCCTTGAATGCCCCCGCACAGGAATGTGGGTGCCATTCTGTGGGAAGGCGGGGAGCCATAGAGGGGTTTTGAGCAGAATCGCAGTGTCAGTGTAACTGGGGGTTAGGAAGTCCTTGGATGGTGCGGATGGTAAAGTGCTGTGCTGCTGACCAAAAGGGTGGAGGTTCCAGCCCACCTAAAGGCACCTCAGAAGAAAGGCCTTGTGATCTACTTCCCAAAAGTCAGCCATTGGAAAAAACCCTACGGAGCACTGTTCTACTCTACACATGAGGGGTCGCCATGAGTCGGTGTTGACTGCACGTAAGCTCGTAACCAGTCTAAGTTAGGAAGTAGCACATGGGATGGACTGGAGGGAATGAGGAGGACCATTGGAGGAATACAGAAGGGTCATCTGAACACACACACTGACCAAAAGGCGTTGTGAAGACACTGACTTCTTTACGGTTTGATCACAGGTGAAGGATGTGCCGTGTTTATCTGTGTGCATGGACCACATCGCTCGGTCCAAGTGTCCCTGTGTGTGTAGTGTCTTGGGGTTTTGCTTAAACAGACTCAGAACAACACACCTTTCCTACATACCATTCAACATAGGACACGTTACACATTTCCTCAATTTCTCTGTGGGGTTGATACCACTCAGCCAAGCTGGGGACAAGCATTAAGTGAGGTAACTTAAGGAGTGGCCACACCCTGCCTGACCATGGTAGGTACCCAGTATTGTCTTTCTAGGGAAAACGTTTCCGGCCACTTGTATTGTGTTATGTATGCAGTGCCATTTCTCAGATAGAGGGCCCAGCAGAGAACACTGGTACATACATCCAGAATAACAGTATACAGGCCACAGCTTAGTGTGCATCCGCCACTGTGCTGGCCACCTGCGTTCTTTCATGTAGCCCGCACACGCTGAATGGGTATTTTACAGGATTGGATGCAGGTGATTGCCCCAGGTCACAGTCACTAGGAAGGAGCTGAGCCCTCACTCCACTTCCATCCGACTCCAAGGCCAGTGGTCTAGAGCACATGTTCTCAGCCTCAGCGCTGTTGACATTTGGGGCCAGGTGATCTTTATCGCGGGGGATTACCAGCGTGTAGGATGTTTAGTAGTATGTCTGG